TTACTAATGATCCTACTTAGTGCGGATGAATAGAACAATGTTTCCTTGGAGCTCATGCTTCAGAAACAGGCAACAAACGGTTACGTATAATTTGTTTATCAATAAATGAGAAGAAAAACAGCCAGAAAGAGGATATTGTAAATTTTTGCCATTTACCATTAGTTTTCAGATGAGAAAATGAAGGCAGACTGATATTTCTAGTATCACACAAATAATTTTCAGAACCATACTTCACACCTGTTTGATGTTTTTCTCACCCCATCTGTTTTTAGAACTGCAGGCTAGGTGCAGTGGCTCATGCCTGTAATCCTATCACTTTGGGAGGCCAAGGTGGGAGGATTTCTTGAGCTCAAGGATTCAAGACCAGCCTGGGCAACACAGACCCTGTCTCTACAATTTTTTTTTTTTTTTTTTTTTTTTTGTAATTAGCCAAGTGTATTCTCTTTGCCTAAAAGAAAAAATGTAGTCGCACCTACTCGGGTGGCTGAGGTGGGAAGATCACTTGATACTAAGAGGTCAAGGCTGCAGTGAGCTGTGACTACACCACTGCACTCCAGCCTGGGCAACAGAGTGCGACCCCGTCTCAAAAAAAAAAACAATAAAAAACTAAAAACGCAATGTTTATCCACACAGTTCTAGCTAAGGAAAGACACCATCCACCACCTTTGATTTATTCTGGAATGTACCTTCACTATCTGTTCTAGCCAGCAATAGGCAGACTGTCATTCAGTGCAAGTGACTTCATTTCTCTGTCAAAAATCAGAAGTCTCCTTATATGTAAAAGGTCACTCAAGTTGCTGTTGAAAATATTAAAGAGAATATTCCCTGCTCAGGACCACTGACCCATAGAAAGACAATCAGTGAGAAACAGGCAATCCTTTCTCTGAGCATCCTGTTTCTTCACTTTCTTGGAATCATGATTTTTGTATTTGAAAATATTTTGGGGAAACAATATCTTAGGTGAATGCTACTACAATAATAATCTAAGCAGAAATCTCAGAGTCATCCTTACTAGTAACCATTTTTTATTTGTATAAATCTGTGGGGTACAAGTATAGTTTTGGATACCCTATTCAGCATGCATACACTAACACTAATGATAGCTGATGATCTTTAAAAAAAAAAAAAAAAAGGGAGTGTCTGTGCATAATTGGATAAATGCATACAACATGTGCTGGTCAAATCAAGGCTTTTAGGATATCATCACCTAACATAAAAAAAAAAAAAAAAAAAGGGAGTGTCTGTGCATAATTGGATAAATGCATACAACATGTGCTGGTCAAATCAAGGCTTTTAGGATATCATCACCTAACATTGTACCCCTTAAATTCTCATCACCCACCCACCCCCAACCTCTCACCCTTCCAAGTCTCCAACAGCTGTCATTTCACTCTGCACATCCATGTGCACACATTTTTTAGCTACCACTTATGAGTGAGAACACATGATATTTGTCTTTTGGGGTCTGACCTGTTTCATTTCAGATAGTGACCTCCAGTCCATCCATGATGTCACTAAAGACAATATCATTTGTTATGGCTGAATAGTATTCTACCAAGTAGTACACCACATTTTCTTTATCCAGTCATCCACTAACAGACACTCAGGCTCATGTTCATATCTTTGCTATTGTGAATAGCGTTAAACATATGAGTGCATATATCTTTTTGACATATTGATTTCTTTTCCTTCAAGTAGATACACAGTAGGAAGATTGTTGGATGAAATGGTAGTTCTAATTTTAGTTCTTTGAGAAATCTCCAGTTTTCCATAGGGGTTGTACTAATTTACATTCCCATGAACAGTGTATAAGAATTCCCTTTCTCCACATCCTCACCAACATCTGTTTTTTGACTTTTTAAATAACCATTCTGACTAGGGTAGGATGAGATATTTTGTTGTGGTTTTAATTTGCATTTCTTTGATGATTAGTGATGTTGAGCATTTTTACATATGCCTGTTGGCCATATGCATGTCTTTTTTTGAAAAATGTCTGTTCATGTCCTTCCCCCACTTTTTAATAAGATTATCATGAAAATTATGCATAGGCTTTTTTTTTTTTTTAAGCTCATCAGCTATTATTATTGTTAGTGTATTTTACGTGTGGCCCAAGACAATTCTTCCATTGTGGCCCAGAGAAGCCAAAAAAGTTGGACACTATAGCATGAGTGTTTTGTACACTTAGAAACTTGAGTCACCTGCACCCTTCTGTCTGGACAATTCATATAAATAATGTGACTTACAATGAACCCCTGATTTTCTTCAGGGGTTCTGTAGCCTCCTGTGTGCCTATGGGACCGATCCACCAAACAACACACAGGAACTCAGGCTCAGACAAGCATCCTGGTAGACAACACCTCACACATCATCACAGCTCACTGCTGGAGGAGTTAGGAGCGTCCCGCATGACTGCCCTTGGAGAGGATGCTCACAACTCGCACGGGCTTCCTGCAGTCTTTGCCGTGTGCCATTTCCCCTTAGGGACACCATAGTCATGAGCATAATGACTTCTGAGGCTTGTGAAACTCAGTAAACCTGAGGGTAGTCTTGGAGATGACCTCTCTCTCTCTCTCTCTCTCTCACACACACACACACACACACACACACAAACGTGCACACATACATTTACATCTCGATTGTTCCTTTCCTTATTTGCAAGAAACCTGCTCCCATAATCCTTAATATACTTACGTGCTGAATGTAACCACTAACCTCCCATCACCACCACGGCTGCCCTCTTCCCCACGCAGGTGTCCTTCCCCATCTCCAGGATCAATGCCCCCTCAGAGGTACCTCTCAACCTCCCAACCCCACTTACACTGACAGGGGCCATTCTCATCTCCCCTGGGGCCCCTTCCTCACCCTGCTTGGCTCCACAGCCAACTCCAAGCACCATTAGTCCTTCCCTCTGCCAGCTGGACCTCTCTTTGCTCTGCCTCAGTTTAGGGCTAAGAGGGAAGGAAGAGGATGAGAGGAGAAAGAGGAAGACTTCTGAAGCTTCTGCACCTGTAGTGCTGCACTGTCTTACCACATTTATTTACCAGAATTATTTCAAGACGTTTAAACTTATCAGACTGATCCCAAGTCCTCAACTTAACCCTGAAATCCAATTATGTGCCCCTAAACTCTTCCATAGTCCTCAAACAAGCTGTGCCTCTCATGTCTACATCTCAAAGGTATCTTGTGCTGTTCCTCGGCCTGAAAGGGACCACTCTGCACTTCCCCTGCAGCTTCCCTTCACACTTGAGGTCAGCTGTGGTGCCTCCCTCTGTGAAGCATTCTCTGCTCTTCCCATAACGTCCACCTTCCCCTCGCTCCTGTGCATTGATGGAGCACAGGGTCATGGCTTTAAAGCTGGGAGCTCTTTGAGGGGTAACTCCATTTCATTTATGTTTTATCCCCAGCATTAGGCAGGATCTCAGAGACCAAGCCACTGGTGGTATAAGAACCAATTTCAGGAAAGAGGAAAGAGAAATGATGGCTCAGCATCCCATCTCTGCGGGCATAATGGCAGTCACTGGTCAGCCATGGGACCAAGGTCATCAGACAACTCTATTCAAACTTGCTACGTGTGGTGTTAAGGCTTTTTTCTTCAACAATTATTAAATATGAGTCTACACACAGGAAAAATAATACTTGCTTGCTGTCTCCTGGCCCCTTGCCTGCCCCAATGTGGTCTTCTCCCTTCAGGTTGTGGGGGTCAGGGCAGCCACGCCTCTGAACCACTCCTGTGGAGTACAAGCCCCAGCACTTTCTACTTAGAAAATGCAAGTAGTAGAGAAGAAAAGACTTCAAGAACATTGTTATGAGGCTGGTGAGGGAGGAGTTGTCCCTGTCCTGCACACTTTTGTTAATTCCTTGCACTATGTTTCAAAAGTAACAAAAATATTAATTGCCTAGAACTTTGCTGTTGGAGTGATCAACAACCAGTCAGATGACCCACTTTTTTTGCTTCTTGAACTTGAAGCTTTGATACTTGCACAATCTAGCAGCACCTAATTTCAACAATGATGGCAACAACTTTATATACAATAAATTAATGGGTGAATGGTGTTAATCACTTTTTCCAACTGGTAGCACTGCTAACTGGGACACCACTTACATTTTTAGAGGACTAAACACACGTTCATTTTAGAAAGTTTGTAAAATATGAAAAAAAAAAAAAATCACTCCTAGTCTCACCATCCACATACATACTTCATAGTTGGGTCCTCCTGGCACCCCATACATTCCAAATATTAATTAATAAGCACTCACTTCTGGATGTAAGCACCCTAGAAATATATTTTGGACTCTTAGCTGACCTGTTTAGCAAGACTTCTGGGCACAATCATTCTTTTGCATACACAAACTGCTCTGTTTGCCTATGATCTGAAAACACCTTAGGACCAGAATATGTGGAACAATAAATCATTTTGTAGGTCTGTGTTTGAATGGACCTTAAAAGACTGCATGGTTTGATACTGTCTGCTGACCACACCCAAGGATCATTAATTTCACCGCATGAATGTGTCTGGTTCTTAGTTGAAAACAGGAATGACGAGAGTGTTCCAAAGGGAGGGAGAGGGCAGTAAGATCAGAGTGACAAGCAAGAGTGAACAGGAAATTTGATATCCAAAAGAAAAGCACAGAATAAAAAGTCCCAGACACAAGGCAACAAGCCTTTCCAGTGAAAGGCGGGACCTGTGCTGCACTCAGAAGGGTTTAAACCACACCGACACCTCCTGGAGACAAACGGAGCTGGTGTAGCCGGAACAGAAGTCTCAGCTCTCACCTGGCACCTCAGGGGAGGCACAGCAGCCATCACGGGCTCCCGGCACCCCTGAGCCAGGAGGGACTGTCTCCTCTCCTGTCCCCTGTCCTAGGGGCCCAGAGGCCTTGAGCTGGGGGAGGGAGAGGCTCGCACTGTCATGGCTTGGGTGGACTTAGACATGTCAATGCGTGTGAACGCAGGGCATAGCTCAAGGCCAAGGGCTCCAGAACCACTGGCGTCCTCTTACCTGAAATTCAGTCCCCACTCTTTCTGACCTCCTTCAGCAGCAGTTCCTCTCCGGGGCCACCGTGTGTGATTCTGCAATCACATCTGCAGCAGCTTTCAAACTGGAGCTTGAAATTCATTTGGGCTTCAAGACTGCATTCACTTTGAAATGATCTCATTTTTTAACTCTCCTTACCTTTGACTTTTTCTTCTGCAGAACTTTCTACCCTTCCCAGATTGAAGAACCCTGTTGTTGGAGAATGTGAAAGCCAAATACGAGTTGAATCACTGCCTGGTTCCTGTCACCTGTGGAAATCACAGCCACGTTTCGCCCCCAAGTGAGGGCAGCGCCGGCGCGGCTCAGCCTCTCCCGTGTGGGGAGCTCTGTGGGGCGCACTGGGCTTCCTCAGGAGCGTTCCCTTTCCTTTCTCACGAGGGTTGTTATCACACAATTAAGCATTTTATAGCATTTTCGTCTCCGCCCTGAGGTAGCAGATGCTAGGAACGGTGCCCGGATCCTAATCTACCTCTCCCAGCGAGGGCCCCGCGAGCTGAGAAAAGCCTTTTGGCTTGGGGCCACAGGCGCTCACCCTGAGGAGATGCAGCCTGATTTGCCTCCTGTACAGGACTCAGAGTGATGCAGGGCAGGGCAGCCCCCGAACTACGGCTTAGCCTCGGAGGGCCCATGGCTTTTCTCGGCAACATTTCTTCCCCGCTGCTGCTGGGCCGCAGCCTCCAGGCCCACTGAAGCGCAGGGGCGACCACGGCGACCCCTCAGGCAGTGCGCCCAGGGGAGCGGCTGGGGGTGGGGCAGGGCTGCGCTCATAGTTATACCCAGTTAATTATATGCAAATTAAACGACAGATTATACAGCTATTTCTAGAATAAGGGTGGTAACTGTCAGGTCCTCAGGTTGTTGCCATGGAAAGGGGCGGTAACTTCCGGTCGTTGCCATGGCAACGACAAACTGACAGGTCCCCCACGGGGGTGGGTCTTATGGAAAACTGCTTGCCCCGCCCCGTCTTGCCTCCACCTCAATGGCAGAGTCAAAAGAGGGGCGCCCCCGCAAGTGCCAAAGATGCAAAACACATACTCTTAGAAACCATATTCTGTGGAAACTTCAAAAGCATCCCGCATTTCTCACTGAAACTCGCCCCGTTGAAAGAAGCCTCACCCGCCGTCCGGCAACAGCGCAGTCCTGGCTGGTCTCCTCTGGCCGCCTCTTCCAAGGGAGGCGGAGAGGTGGGTTCGGAGGCGGCGGCCCTGCCCAGGCCAGGGGTTCAGGAGCGCGGGGGCGGCCAAGGCCGCGGGGCCTTCGCTGCCCGCTGCGCCGCCGTTATAGACGTTTCCAATTTGCTTTAAAACGCATGCACACGAGCACCGCAACGCGGGGCTCCACCGCTCCTGTCGGGCTTCACAGATGAAACCACCAAGTTTATCAAGTTGAATTAATGGTTACTTCTACTTAGATGCTTATACCTAACTTAGAAACAAGCATTCTATAGGAGAACAGTTTTGCTATTGAAATTATCAAGCTGGCCGGGCGCAGGGCTCACGCGTGTAGTCCCAGCACTTTGCAAAGCCGATGAGGGAGGACTGCTTGAGCTGGGAAGGCGGACGCTGCAGTGAGCGGAGACCACACAACTGCACTCCCGCCTGGGCGACACAGCGAGACCCTGCCTCAAAAAAAGTTTTTAATGAAATTATCAAATAACCAATGTTACTCTTTGCACAGTCCTTAAAAACTGTTAAAAAATTATATTCGTAAATGCACAAACTTAGTTATTCCTATTTATTACAAATCAAAGTTTTAGATAGGAGTCTTGAAGACTTTCTAACTAGAATTGATGGGTTTGGGGGATGTTTCATAAGGTATGTTTGGTTTTATCTCTAATTCCGCTGTAATTTAAACACTAAAATGTAGCAATGAAGTTGCCAAGATCGTTGGATTTTTAATTGGGCTATTCAAATATCCAGATGCCAACTGAATTCACAGCAAAAAAAAAAAAAAAAGCTATTTGATCTATATTTTCATTTTAGGTTGATTTTTCCATTAGTGCCTGGCAAGTAAACAAATATTAGAATTTAAAGCTCTAGGGCAGTTCATGCTTTTTTGGTCCTTAGCAATATAACACCAATTCACATGGGGGCTGTAGTGAAAATGGACAAAATCAACGAAAAGTGCTTGGAAGCAATCTAAACAGACTCAAGCCAGCCATACCCCCAAGAGCCCACAGTGATGACAGATGAATCCACCTGAACTCTTATGGTCCAACATTAATGACTGATTTCAACACATTTTAGAAATCTATACATATGACAGTAGTAATGAAGATTACGTTTTACCCAAAACGATGTAGAGTCAGAGTAACCTGCTTTAACCTCACCCTTTATTCTTAGGTTTAGATTTGTGGTACTCCTAATCTCATAAATGAAAGGGTACTGTACACCTAGGCTAAGGCCGCTGAAACAAAGTAGATACATAGGGGCCAATTTGGGGTATGTAACATATTTAGAAAATTCAAATGATACAAGTAAAATCACAAGGGACATAACTAGCTCAGCAGTTACTTCACTGTGTTCAACAGCTGAAGCACCTCATGTTGTTATCGGGGCCCCAAGTTGCCCTTTATATTTTCATTGGCATTTTTCTACTACTGGAAATGTTATCTAAAATCAATATAAACTTTAGTAGGAGATAAATGTATCTGGTAATATAACCAGGGAAATTTGGTCCAAGATATTTTACTGCATTAGGAAGAAAGGTCTGCAGTATTAGCCCTATGGTAAAATATTTATACCGTTGCTGGTAAATGATAGAGTATGTGTACTCTATAATCTTAAATCATACGCACAAATGTTTTAACAGTGAGAAAACACTGTTAGAAGCATACAACATTGCCAAATGTAGGTGGAAGCTTAAATTTTAAGCTAATGGATGGTAGCTTTTAAATAAAAACATTCTGGCATGTTCTTCCTGGTAGTCTCTTCTGCACATCACTTCTCCCGGGGGCAACCACAGACAGAAAGACCCTGTTACAGAGAAGTGTAAAGAAAACTTCTCAAAAGACAGTTACACTAATCTCCGTAGTTTGAGTTCAAATGATCTGGATTGAGATGGACTTTATATTAAAAAGCAAAAAGACATCTAGTCCTGCTTAGAATATGCTGTTTTCTTAACTCTGAATCTGAATCTGTGGAGTCTTGGCCTGCTGCCACCATGACAACCCTTCAGGAGATAAGGGTGTGGCGTCAATAAATTTGCAGATCACTGCAGGTAAGCAGCTTGCTAATTAACTGTTCAAGAAATGGCAAAGATCCATTCTCCCCTTCTAGCACATGGAAAATAAAACATGATTATATGGAGAACATCTTTTAAGAAACACAGAAGGAACCATCCTACTGCTCCCACCCCCACCTTTTTGTAAACAGAAAAGCAGATATAGTGGGGCAAGAACTTGTGAGGTCTCAGATGTAGAAGGTGGTTACGTAGTCATACTCAGAACTTCTTTGGCATTGAGAAATTAGATTGAGGATATTGTTAAATTATACCAAGTCCTTCAGACATTATGGATAAATATTTTGACCCTGGAAACTAGAATTTTCATTTGGATAAAACCACATACATTCTAAAAATGGTTTTAAGCATTTCTAAGTAGGATTCAAATAGATAAGAACTGATAGACATGGTGATGTCCCTAGACAGTCTAACTTTATTACTAAACAGATTGCATACTGAACTTTTTCATATTATGAGATACTGAATTGAAACCATGCTTAGTATTTCAGTAGCAACACATCTATTTTTAGTACCTCAACTTTTACCTTCTTTCATCAAACCAATTAAACATGGAATATCATATCAAAGCAAAAAAAAAAAAAAAACCTGATGCTATAAATAGCTAGGAAATGGCTAGAAAATGTGCAGCACTGGGTGCTGACATGTATGTATTCTGCTCACTTCTAAATTAGGAGCTTATTAGACAAAGATGATCACTACTAACACCTATGAATAAAAAACAAAGAAGTGAAATAGTTTGTGACTGGGAAATGGGGGCACAGAGAACCACTGTAAATGCAATGTGCAGTTCTGGAACGAGGTTATCAATTTTCTAACAACATGTGAGACATCACCAGAAGAGTGCCAGCCTCAGAACTAACATAATTAGACGCCCGAGCTGCTTCATCCCAAAGGGACTGGAATGGGAGCAGGGGACAGAGCGGGGCTAAACTTGGGATTCCCAAGCGCGTTCCAAAAATCCTTCCCCTCACCTTCAATTCCGTCCTCTCCTTTCATGTAGTCTTATTGATACACCTAATCATTTGAAAGCACATATAAAACCTATAAAAATGCTTTAGTAACCAAAAATAATCTTCCCTAAGAAATGCCTAATCTCTTTAAAATTAGCTCTTATAAATTCCCAGTTATTTTCAGAAGTGGTTTTCCATGAGATAATATAAATGGTGGATGAATCTCCCATCCTTTACAGGATTGAAGATCACTTTCCTTGTAATGAGACCTCCAATATGGGCCTGCACAGGCACTCTTTAGAGCATTTATTTGTAGCTTATGAGAGTCCAAATTTGAGATCCTATTTATATATATTGTGATGTCTGAAGTGTGAATTGTTTTTCTTTTCAGCAAACTGTCTTGTATGGTTTTTCTCTACCTTCAGTCTTCCCATTCTAAACAAGCTGCCTGGTAGAAGGCCAGGAAGTGCAACGAGTGAACAGGATCTGTGACTCTCACAGGATGTTTTTATGAATTTTATGGCTCTACCTTTCAAGATATACATACATCTAACACAGAAAGATTACCTTCAGAAAAACCACTGAACCATTAAAGCCTATGATTCATTGCTAATATTCTATTTTTCCTAGTGTACTTTTAGGTGAATGGCAAAGTATTTAACATTAAACTTTCCCTATCATGGGTTCAAAACTGTAGGAAGTGCACGATTTCTGAAAAAAATACCTTGATTCACTGCAATTAATTCTGAATTTGTATTTGAAAGTATGACCTCACAATCTTAGTTTGTACACAGCAAACATGTCTGTGTGACTGCCGTTTAGTTTAGACTTGAAATATCTTAAATTCTTATTGGAAAGCTTCCCTTCTGAAAAGCTTCCCTATGTATTTTCTTTTTTAAAAAAAGTAACGTTTAGTTCAGAGATGGGCATGCTAAAAAAAGAAATCATGTTGCTGGTGATCTTACGAGCAACATGAAGGTAAGTGGGTCCGAAGCACATTATTTAAAAGGCCATGAAGAACACCGCTAGCTACTGTTTAGCAGCGTTACATATATTTTTCTCTCAAAATGCACATCTGAATCATTTGTGTGAATGACTGGTATTAATATTCACTTTGAACTTGACACTATGATAAGCTTAAAAATCCCTTTCAGACACCATGGGCTCTGGCGTTGAATCTGTAAGGTGGCCTCCTGGACAGCAGTCCCCATATAAGCATAGGTCTTTGAGGTTGGTAGTGTAAATTATCATTTTAGCTGTATATTATGAAAAATTTGATAATATTCTAGACTTTAACATTTTTCCAACCTTCTGGGTCACATATTCACACTTTTCATTGATCATAAATTAAGAAACTCCTGAGTTTAGGATCTGAAAGAAAATTAAGTGTTTGCTGGGTATTGTTCTAAGCAGTGTGTTCTTACAGCACATTCACAAAATATGAAAATAGCTTCCCTACTTAACCTCTATATTGCCAAAGTGATATTTAAACTTGTAGTTAATATTAAAGACTAAGTAATTAGGACAAAAGATCAAAAAATCAGAATTCTAAAGCTGTGACGTAGTATCTGCATAATAGAAAGCCTAATCGCAAAAGCCTAAGTTAGGAGGTGTGCTGCACAGTAAACCTTTACAATCAAAAACATTTAACATTTACTTTCACCACCTGTGAAAAGGAATTAGCTTGAAGAAACTGCACATATAACAACCATAAGAGAAATTCAGCTCAAGTTTTGAA